CTCTGACATTACAATTGCAGAGTATAGGGAATGAGATTACATAGAAAGAAGCTTGATACCTATCCTGTACTTTAAAAAAATCAGCATGCTCCAGAATCTATACAAGGACCCCTTCTTTTACCAACCAGAACCAGCAGAGGTCCTCCTTGGGAGACTCACTCCCCTTTCCAGAATGAAGCAACTTGTCAACTGCAGACGTATAACTAAAACACATGATGGCTACTGAGTGTTGCACACTGACGTATTTAGCCAAAGGCTGGGTCTTTTATCTAGGAAGCAATATCATGTTCTCCAGGGTAATAAGTATGTGTTTCCTGTATTTAAGAGAACTTCAGCAAGCAGAAGTTCTGCAAGACAGAACAAATACTTCGACTACAGAAAGAAGGAAAACAGCTCCAGGCTAGACTAGAATCATTCCCACATGATGCCTGTTTGCAAATCCTTCCCTGTTACCCTTAAAGGTATTAGCACCTAAACATGCCAGCATCATTAGCATGCTTGGAGCACCAGGAACATGGCCTTGTGTAGTTCATGTGACCAGCCTGGGGTGTAAGTGTGTTAAAGGGACAGGAGCTGTGACAAGTGCCTGGAAACATCTTTCTGGGTACAAATATGGCAAGACACTGAAGTATTTCTCTATCAAGATCCCTGTACACATGGGAGTCGGGGAAGAAAACAAAGATAATGGCAGTGGCCCAACAATTCCTGACTGAGACATAGTGATTTATACTAGCAAATCATATCACAGATATGATCCCAGCCCTGACCAACAGTGTAATCATCACTCTTAAAGATCTGAGAAACTTCGGCCAGATTATCATCTCCTGGGACACTAATGAGACAGAGCCTCCTTTGACCAAGCAATCACCATTAGATCTGAGGGCTAGGAGAATAGTCCCAAGGGGAAGATGTTGTTACCCACAGACTGCCATTCTCTAATCTTACAAGCCACTTCCCCTCAAACTGCCCACATCAGGACACAGGTCTTAGCTGGCCAGAGAGAAGTTCTTAACTGTCTAAGACTTGTACATCAAACCATCACAACTGACTCTGGGTGATATGTGGACAACCACTATCATCAGCTGGCTCACTTTCTAGGAGTCAAAAGAGAGCATCTCGGGCCTTAAAACCCTGTTTAACCATCTCAACTCCTCTTCTCGAAACCCCTGCCTTGATCACAATAACCAAAAGTATCCTAGAAGCCATATGAGCTACTAAAGCTCAGATCTTCTCTCCAGGGCCTTGGGGTAAAGGTTAGCAAGCTTGCCAACAGACATGAAAGAAATCTACAGTCCAAGGTGTGGCTATGCAGTAAGAATTCCAGACCATGAGGGAGGGAGGAATAGATGAATGGGTAAGCGGAAAACCAAGGGATAGTTTCCTTAGTGTCTCTGAGGGCAGAGCCAGGGACCCCTGCAGGACAGCCCAACAAACTCTTGTCTTTGGAAACCAAAAGATGCTATATAAGCTCAAGCTTGCCCAGCAGAGGTGACACTAAGCAGAGACAATGCTGACCGCATTGCTGACTATAAATCTAGTCCACTCAGCTGGGTCTGGCCTCCTCCAGGCCGGCCCCCCAACAGCTACAGTTTTGCTAAATTTAGGGCTGCTCCCAGCCACCCCAGCGACTCGGCACTTCGTGTCCATTTCAGGTTCATCTGGGGACAGAGAGGAACAGAACTTGTTGAGATCTGCCCTCATGTGACCCTCCCTCTTCCCCACTGAAGGCAGGGACCCAGGAGAGCAGAAGATGTGAGTAACCAGTCAGAGATTTCCTGAGTTTTGTGAGTAGGCTCTGCACTCGAGGTTTTACTCAGAGAAAATGGCTGCTGGCTCCAGGAAAATCACCCTACCAGGTCTGTTCCTCCTCACACCAGTGTCACTCTCTCTGGGAGTCCCAGATACTGTGCCCTGTTAGGGTAGGGTAGGATAGGATACCCTGTCACCAAATAAGCAGATAAAGAATCACCCTCCATACATGGCTCTATGAAAAACTTGGAGACAGAGTACACTCAGTCAAATACTAGAGGCCTTAAAGTAGAGAGATCAAGCTGCAGATCCTAAACCAGACTCTATAGTGGAATCAACCAGGAAGCCCTGAATTCCTGACACCCCTGCAACCTCTCCCCAACCAAAAAAAAAAAAAAAAAACACTGGCTACCTAGTCTGGGCTTTGCACATTTTAGGAGACTCGAGGACCTCTGTGCACAGGTTTGGGAATTTAGCTTCTACTTTCTGGAAACTTGAGACACCCTAGTAGAGATTCCAGACATAATCACTTCCTGCTACGTCACTGTGGGTAAGTTATTCAATCTTTGCTGGCTATAAAGTGCCCACTAAACACTAAGCACCTATGGCAAGATTGCTATCAATATGTAACAAGACACTCAGTGTCATGCATACACTGATAGGTAGCAAGTGCTCGATAAGAATTAGGAATCATTATAACAACATGCAGGAGGAAAGGAGGAACCCAAGAGCTAGGTTAAGTCATGAAATGAGAAAGTATGTGAGACTGACAGGACATGAACAAGGGATAAGGCTCCTACTGTCCGAACACTGACTGCCTATCCATCCTCTGTCTCAGCTCACACCTTCCTCCCACATTCTGTGCTTTGCCCTCTCCCCAACTCCTAAATCCTACCATTCAGAGCCCAGGGCTGCCTCCTTTGTCAGTGTTTCTATTAATGTCCCATGCTTATGATTTTGGAGTTTTATAATTGGCTACCCTGAACAAACAGCTACCAGCCAAATCGAATACTTGGCCTGTGGATGAATGTTTCAGCAGGGCTTAGTCTTGTACCTCAAATAAATAAGAAGTAACATGAGGAAAGGCTCAATTCTCACACTTCTGAGTTTTCCTCACAGCACTGGCATTGTGCTAGGCATATCAGATTCACATATGTGAGATGAAAACACATGTTTTACAGATATGAAAATGCATGTTTTGCAGAGCTAACTGTACATCAGCAGGTACTTAGGCTTAATGCTCAGGAGGAACAGACCCATAGTACTTTGAGCCTCCATTCAATCACAAGGATACATTATTGCCCCATTCCATCATACAAGGCCCTACTCACCCACTCCTAGGCCCTGTGGCTCCTGACACCAAATCATCAACCCTCATGATTTACTGAACCCCACAACAGCCAGTCAAAGCTCAGTTCTGCCCACATCAAGTCCAGAACAGCTGGCTACTCACAAGCTGTAAGCTCCTTACAGATTAAAGATCCTAATTTAAACCTCTGTGTGAGGTACAGCATGTGGGTCAGTACTCTGCAGGCCCATTGGCACAGAGAAGCAGCCACAATCTGAGAAATGCTTCAAGGGGGGCAGGGCACACAAATAAACACACGAAGCCTGAGCAACTTTGAGTCAGAGTTTCTGAGACCTCAGTGACATCACCAGGAAGAGTCAGCTACTACCATCCTCCAGGAACCCAAGTATGTGATTTCACCACCTTCCTCAGTGAACCTCAGAAGCACAACACTAGCAGAGTAAAGTAAGTTAGAATGGCTTTTTTCTTGCCCAGACCTTGATATGTGGGGAATATTTCTGCTGGGAAATTAAAAAAAAAAAAGAATAAATCTTAGAAAGCAAGGAAATAGCTATTAAAGCAGGAAGCAAGAGACAAGGGCTGGGGCTAAATGTCTGTATTCTTGGAAACTCTTCAGTAAGAAGGGAGGGACAGAGACATTTGTTCCTATCCCTGCCTTTATTTGGCCTCTCTCCCCAGCTCCTCTACAATAGGAAGCATCTCACATGGGTAAACAGCCTCAGACCTACCTAGGTTTTTTTGCTTTTTTTTTTTTCTTATTTTTTTTTTAAGACTTCACTACAGTTGCTTCCATAGAGATAGTTTCTGGGGAAGTAGCTGGAACCTGCTGTCTATGCTAAGAACACAGGAACCCATTCAGGACGGTACTCCTATATATTCTAGAGCTTGACCCAAAGTAAGGCCCAGGTTACTCAAAGTAACCCCTGCACCACTGTATATATGTCCTGTGCGTTTGTGTGTGTGTGTGTGTGTGTGTGTGTGTGTGTGTGTGTGTGTGTGTGTGTGTGTATACAAAAATGAAGCAATATTTCATGAAATAATACCTTTATCACATATCATACATTTCAATTTTTCTATTATATTTACACTTTTTTTTATTTTTTACTAACACTTAACTACACAAAATAAGAAGTTTCATTAAGACTTATCCATATACATGCATATTTTCTAATGCTGGTCTCCCATTATACTGATTTCATACTACCCCATTGTTAAGTCCTTTCTCTGCAATATCCTCAGCTAGGACTACCCCAGTCCTCAAGCCTTCCCAGGGCCCATGATCTTTTTCCTCTTGCTCCAATGATACCTCTAGTGTTGGTCTAGCTAATAAGCGCAACAGGCTCATTCCTGGCCAACATGCTTTACCAGCTGCAGCACTTCTCACCCTATAAAGTAGCCCCAGAACTGAACAGACCTGTGGCACCAGACAGAAAGATCATCTGTACTGTTCCTGTGTTCACGTCTTCTAACAGTTTAGTTGTACATCAGACATGCTACAAAATCCTAGAACCTGAAGTCTGCTTGTTAATGTTAGTTAAATAGAGACAATTTTACAGTTTTTTTTAAAACAACAGGATAAAATAATTCATTTAAAAACTATCCTTAGCCTAGTCTTTCTTCCAAGTTGCCTATGAAAAATTGCCACCTCCTCCTCTAGACAGCCTACCCTGACGGATCTAATAGTAAAGGAATTCTCCAAAGCCCAGACTACAGTAATATGAAATCCTAATTACTCCTTTCTACAGTCCCTCTTCCCAGAAACACAACACACTGGTCTTTATATCTGTGGTTACTGCCAGCTGGGTATCAGAGTAAAAAACCATGTCTTAGAAAATCAATATTCTCTCCTGGCATGACGGCACACGCCTTTAGTCCCAGCAGTAGATAGTATGGAGGGCGTATAACCAGGCCAAAGCCAGTAAGTCTCCTTCCAGCAGCTCACCTTTTAAAAGTGTGCTTCTGCTCATAACCGTTGGGCAATGACTCCAAATGTATAATCCATAGCCTCTTGTATAAACACAATGGAGAAGGGTCCTTCCAGGATGTAATCATACGTTCCTGGACCACATGGTGAATGAAAGAACTAAAAGAATGCAACAAAGAGGTATTGCTTCTCTTTAAGAAAGCTGGATGACGATGAAGTATTGGAGAAACTTCTGCACAGAAAAGAAAACAAGCATGAAAAGACAATCTGCAGAACTTGAGAAAATGCTGGCAAACTATTTACCTGCCAGGATCAACATCCAGAACATATAAAGAATTCAAACAGCTCAACAGGAGAAAACAAATAGTCTGATCTCAAAATGGGCAAATGACCTAAACAAATATTTCTTTTAAAAAGACAAACAGCCAACAAGTATTTGAGACAATGTTCAATGTCACTGATCATCAGAGAAATATAAATCAAAACCACAATGGAATATCATCTCACCCTAATGAAAATGGATACTATCAAAAGCACATAATAATAATAATAATAATAATAATAATAATAATAATAATTGTAGTAGTAGTAGTAGTATGCCAGGAAGGATAAAGTAAAAAAGGTAACTCTGTCATACTGGTAGAACTGTAAATTTGTACAGCTATGGTGGAAAACTGTATTCAGGTTCCTTAAAAATGAAACAAACAAACAACTAGAAATAAACCAGGCACGGCATGTAGTGCCAGCACCCAGGAGGCTGAGACAGGAAGACCATGAGTCTTAGGCTAGTCTGGACTATATCTCAAAAAGCAAAACAAACAAAAAATACACTGGAAATAGAACTACCACATAATCTAGAAATCCCAACACAAGGAATATATTTAAAGGAATTGAAGTTGGTATGTCAAAGAGACATTTTTATGCCATGTTTACTGTAGCACTAGTCATAATAGCCAAGAGAGAGAAAGAGAGAATCAACCTCAATGTCCATCAATGGGGGAATGGACAAAGAAAATGTAGCGCATACACACACACACACACACACACACACGCAAAGAGTAGAATATTATTTCACCATAAAAGACTGAAATTCTGTTATTTGAAGCCATATGACCTAGAAGCTATTACATTAAGTGACATAAGCCAGGCAAAGAAAGATGAACACACATTCTCACTGGCATGGAATGCTGCATGGAAGCTACAAAGTTGACTTCACAGATGCAGAAAGTTGAACAGTGGTCAAAGGTTAGGAAAGGGTCAAAAGCATGGAAAGTGGACAATTCATGACAGTGAAGTAAGATAGACAAAAGATTTCTAATCTCCTGCAGTGCAGTAGGGCAACTACAGCTGACAATAATTTACTGTATAATTCAGAACAGCTCGCATAGGACTGACAGATTAACTGACTGGCTGGTCTTGCAAAAAGGACTCTCAATGTTTCCAACATAAAGAAATTATATCTGAGAAGACAGATACATCAATGATCCTGATTTGACCATCACACACTATATAGATGTACTGGAATACCAGCATCCCCCAAAATATATGCAATTATGTCTGTGTGTATGTATGCAGCTATACATTCATGTATATGTGCTTTAAAGGAGTAAGCTGGCTACGCAAGCTACCATGGCTACCTCTTCCAGAATGAGCAGTGTTAGCCCCCTAAATCACAGCATGGTCATGACTAGAATGGTCACATTATGAAACTAGAAAAACATACAGTCAATAAATGCCTCAGTGATGTCTTCCCTAACATTACAAAATCATTCCATACAATGTCTCCAGCAGCTACCAAATAAATCTGTTCTGGCAGAGTCTATGAAACACAGCTTTATAGTTCTGGGCCATAGGATGGACTTATCCTCTAGACCATCAAGCAGTAAGTATTGGTGAAATTCAGGCCTTTAAATATGAGGAACAACAAAGACGAGGTTAGCAGAAGTAATGTGGTCAAGAACCTCTGAGTGAGTATGTCTAAGGAGGGACCTTAGGATGAAGATGAAAATGTTAGTATCCTTTATTTTTTGCTGAAAATAATAAGTCAAACCAAACTATTATTTAGCATGTTTATGGACACAGGCACAACACTTAAATTTGTGTGGCAACTGTCACCTAATGTACAAGAGGCCTCCTGTGTAGGATCCCAAGAGCAGAAGAGGGGCAGTGGCATGTTAGATGTGCAAACTTACTTACAGACACACTCTTCAACACAATGGATGACTGAAGCCAAACTACTATACAGTTCCTGACTGACTCATAAAATACAGAGAAAGTAGCTCAACTTACAGAAGAATTATACTATTTTTTAGCTAGGAGAGTTTGAAAATTTGCTGACCTCTTCTATAATGAATGCCTGTCAACAGAATGTTTAGGAATATCTTTAAAGAAGTAAATACTAAATCTGTCCCTTTCAAATGAAGTGAGCTTTTAAAAATGAGCAAAAGCCATTATTCCTCAAAAGAACATTTTGAAAACAAGCTCTTAGAAATAATTGCCACCTTATGTCCTGACATTGCCAATTTCAATTAAGGACATCATGTCTAAAATCTATCTACATAAACTTAACTAGAAATATCTAGTTTCAAAATTTCCCCAAATGAATGGTCTTGAATCCAGCTATTAAAACATAAAAATATACAAACTCTACCAATGAGTTTGTAACTATTGATATCTAGAAATATTAAAACTAATATATTAGCTGAGTTTCAGAAACTGATAGATTTATTACATAGAATCTAGAACTTCCTTAACACATACATATTTGTGAAGTCTCTATTAAGAAAAATATATACTCACTTGAACCAGAACTTTAAACTAGTAGATGACACCAACATATTCCAAAGCAATACAGTATACTCATTTGTGCTATTCTTACTAATAAGCATTCTTAGTCATTAATTCCATTTAATTATTCAACAAATGTCTATCTCCTACATGAAAGGCTCTGTCTCTGCTCTGAAACAAAGCAAGGGACAAAACTGACAAAAATCACTAATCATATAACTCCTGTTCCAGTGAACAGAAAGAGAAAAGATACTGATGGAAATTGTCGTAGTCAAGTGTTCTGTTGCTGTGAAGAGACACCATGACCACAGCAACTCTTACAAAGGAAAGCATTTAACTGGGGCTTGCTTATACTTTCAGAGGTTTAGTCCACTGTTATCATGGCAACATGTAGACAGACATAGTGCTGGAAAGTAGTTAAGAGTTCTACATCTGGATTCACAGGCAGCAGAAGAGACAGTGGGCTTAGCTTGGGCTTTGGGAAACTCCAAAGCCCACCCTAAAGATACACTTCCTCCAACAAGACCACACCTGTTCCAACATAACAACACCTTCCAATCCCTCCCAAGTCTGCTACTCCCTGATGACTAAGCATTCAAATATATGCGCCTATGGACGTTCTTACTCAAACCAGCACAGAAATATTTATCATATTAAATGGTGATAAGAGAAAAAGCACTGTGTGAAGGGTTACAGAGAATGCTAGAGAATTGTGAGGGCTGCAGAGGCCCCTGAGAAGGTAAGACACATAGGAAATCAGAGAAAAACATAGGCTGAGTTGGAAGAAGATTCCAAACAGAGAGAACTAGAGATGAAAAAAAAAGGCCCCTAACACAGTGCTTGAGGAACATGAAGGAGGCCAATGATGATGGCACAAAGTGTAGTTAAAGAAAAAAAGAGCTTGAGAGGACCGAGATGTACAGGAGCTGGGTCCTAAAGACCTGTGTTGTACCACATGGCAGTCACTAGCTACAGCTGGAGATGTGCTATGACTCAGCACAAACAGTGAACTAAACAAGGACAATGTAACTCACCAGAAATAAAAACACTTCTGACATACAAGTTTAAATAAAATACATGACTACAATTAATTTCAACAGCTTCATTTCCTTTGCTTAAAGATATTTTAAAACTACCTGTGTGATTCTCTAATGTTTCTTACATTGTGTCTCTATTTTACAGTAATGATACAAGCTACACTGTCCTGGGGACCTCACTGAGGATCACAGTATTTACTGAGTGAGATGGAAAGCCACCACTGGGGTTTCAGTACATTAGAGTATAACAAGACTTCTGCTTCACAGGAAGATTCTAGTTGCTGTAAGGACTCCAGCCTATGAGCGACAGAAAAGCAGAGATCACAGCAACTGACCAAGGTGCCAGCAGGGGAAGCAGTTCTGACAGGTCAGATGTGGGGGTACTTTACAAATTTGCACATGGTGGGGGTAGAGGACCACAAAAATGAGAAAAACAAAATACAACATTTAGTGTTCTAATAAGTACCTGAAAGGATAGCATTCCCATCATTGTGATGAAAAAACTAAGTAGAAAAGTTAGTTCAGTTTGGGACATGTTCAGTGGCAAATATCTACTAATATTAGTACTAAGATGTTAAACCAGCAAACCCATATACAGGTCTACAACTCAGGAGAAAGCCTGGATTAAAGAAAAAAAAAATGGGAAGCAACATCACACAGACTTTAACTTTTCATTAGGGAAAATATATAACATAAATAAAATTATAGAGAAAGCAGTAAAATAAAACTCATCAAGCAACTTCAGAAATAATCAATGCATGGTCATTGCTATTTCTCTTCTGTGACTTGAAATGAACTAGAGACATTATAAGTAAGACATTTAAAGACTTGATGTAGAAAAGACTCACAGTGAGGATGGAAAAGATAAAGAAGTGCCCCACGGATAGAATATTGAAAATGAGTGGCCAGTGAAGGCAATAAGAGACCAGAAACAGATGCCCTGGAAACAAGATGAAGACAGACAGCCTCAAGGAAAATGGCAGGACCAGGTTTGTCAAACCTTGCTGAAGAGCCACCAATGAAGTCAGATCCCAGGTGCTCACCAGGGGAAGTGTCAGGAGCATGTCAATCAAGAGTGGTGGGATTCGAGGTGGACATGGAAACACGAGAGTAAAAAAGTCTAAAAAGTGGAATCTGGGGCTTCTTTAAATGAGAAAACAGTAGCCAGTGGAAAAGATCCAACAGAGGTAAAACAGGTGATGTGAATGAGTAGGGGAGTGGGCAAAGTCCTGAATATTCAAGAAGGAAGGATACCCAAGAGACAGGGGCTGTCTAGGACAGAACTGTAACTAGCAAACAGACAAAGAGAAAGCACCACATATAACAGCCACTGACAATTTTCAATGTTGTGTTTTACTATGTATTATTAATATAGAAATGTTATATATAACATATATACAGGAGGATACTTAAAAGTTTAACTGATATGTTCATGTATCAAAATATTATTTATAAAAAAATCAAATTCTAAGCTATGTAACCTTCAGTGACTAGAGACAGTTATCATGCTAAATTTAAAATATTATGTATTATCCTAAGTATATAATAGAGAACATATGAATGTTAGAAGTATACCAGTCTTTACATCTGAGAATATACATTTACTAAAAAGTATTTTTAAAAATTGTAATATTCAATCCTACAATATAGCTGAAATGCAACTGAAAATACAAAAAAAACCCAACAATAACAAAAATAAACCTAATAATATCTAAGAATCACAGGTTATTTTTTAAATCTGGAGAAGTTATTTACATAGGGAAATGTAAGTTATTAGCATAAGCCTGAATTGTATCAGCAGATTCTGTTTCTGTAGTAGCACAGATGCTTAACAATGTACAGCTTCAGCAAAGAGCAGCACATTGAAAACATGGAACTGTCACCTGACCAGCTGGTAGAACAGGCAAGAGCCCAACCCAATCCACAGTTAGCAAAAACATGGATCCAACTTGCTCTAATATACTAGCACCACTGGGCACTTGCCAAGACCTTTACCAATTGGGAAGAGCTTTTTGAATGTTTTCATTTAGTCTCTCTGACATCCATTATTTAAGCAAGCTCACCAACTGTCAGAGCTACACACATTCAAGCCAGAGTGTTAAACACAATAGCAAAGCAATGCCACTACAAAAGGCAAGTTACAGGAGTACGAAAAGGAGGCAAGTCAGAGAACTATATCTGGCTTCTTATGGACACCTCTCACCAACCACATGAAATGACAGCATGAATCCATGAACCCTAGGCCCTAAACAGGCAGATTAAGCAGCATGGAAATGAGTCATAGTCATACAGCACACAAGAAAAGTTGACAGTAGTTCTCACTGTTTAGAATGTAGTATCCCTGACAGTCAGGCCCTGACCATCTTCTCACAGGTGTCTGTCCAAGGTCTAATACATTGCCTGGCACAGAGCAGGACCTCAAGAATAGTTAGTAGCTAGACATGGTGTCATATGTCTATGATTTCTGCACTTGGGAGCCAGTCTGTTCTACGCAGTGGGTTCCAAACCAGCCAGGGCTACAAAGTAAGACAAGAGAGAGGGAGAGAAGGGGAGGGGGGAGAGAAGGAAACAGGGAGGGGAGAAGGGTTACCGAAGGAAATAAATGACCAAGAAACCATAAACACAGTAAGAATAAACAATGTTTGAACAAACCTCAGGAAAGCTGCTCTGGCAGTTGGATGGGGATAAAGGTAGGTAAATAAGCAAAGCTAAAATGCAAACTACAAAGCAGATTCTTTATTAACAAGTGATTTACAAGTTACTAACTAAATAAAACATGGATCCTGTTTACAGCATGACTTAAAAAAGGATTTTGTTTTTTAATGAACCATCAGGGAAGTTTAAACACATACTGTAAAACAGGTCATATTTGGGGATATTTTTGCTTATTCAAGGTGTGATAACACTAACAGAGTTACATTCTTAAAATAACCTATCAGGTGGAGATATATAATAGAGTTTGTACAAAAATACTACCATTTAAGATTTGCTGTAACTCCAGGATGGGGGAATAAATTGGGGGAATACAAGTGGAGATTTACATGAGAAAGGCCATATTCTGACTACCTGTGGAAACACTGGGCAACAGGAACATACAGGTTTATGACACTAATTCCACCTTTGTATAGGGTGGAATAAATACTGTAAATACTTACAGAGAGTAGCCATAAAACCTGTGCATTTGCCCCACCACAGAAAAATCACTGAGTGGTATTTTGGGACATACACTGGCAGTTTTTCAATGGAGAACTGCAGAATAGAGTTCTGTCTTTTCTCCATCCCCGCCAAGCTATTAACCTAAGAATCATGGGCTTCATATCTACATTCACCCTAGTCCACTGACATCTCACTAGCTTCTATCTCCTGTGCAGTCCCTTTCCCTGCCATACTAACTTTGCCTTCTTACTCCAGTCCTCTGCAGTAACTGAGAGCACTCAGCCTTTGACCCACCATTCTCATAGCTCCACTAACACTGGAGTCTCTCATGCCCATGTAGCTTAACCCCTTCTCTATCCTTTTCCTTAAATGCTATCATATCACCAGTATACCCTATAACATCAATTTTCTCCCAAATGTGTCACTCTTGCTACTCTGAGTTCTTCTCTTCCATCTACTTACTCAGCTACTTTCTGCACATTTCCAAGGCAAACCAAATAAGGATGGAACCAAATAATTATCTGGATGCCTATTGTGTGCCAAATTCTGAATCCAGAACAAAGGTAAGAGAAACAAATATGACAGATGCAGACATCCTCTAAACCACATAATCTACCACAAATTGTCTTAGTTAGGGTTTCCATTTCTATGAAGAGACGCCATGACCACAGCAACTCTTATAAAGAAAAACATTTCATTGGGGCTGGCTTACAGTTTTGGAGGTTTAGTCCATTATCATCATGGCAGGAAGCATGGCAGTGTGCAGGCAGACATGGTGCTGGAGAAGGAGTTGAGAGTTCTACATCTTGATCTGTAGGCAGCAGCAGGAGTCTGTGTCACTAGGCCTAGCTTGAGCATATATAATGGACCTCAAAGCCTGCCTCCACAGTGACACACTTCCCCCAACAAGGCCACACCTCCCCCAACAAGGCCACACCTCCTAATAGTGCCACTCCCTATGGGCCAAGCATTCAAACACATGAGTCTATGGGGGCCTGGCTCCCATAAGGCTTGTAGCCATAACATAATGCAAATGCATTTAGTCCAACTTCAAAAGTCCCCATACTCTTATCACAGCCTCAACAATATTTAAAAGTCCAAAGTTCAAAGTCTCTTCTGAGATTCATGCAATCTCTTATAAAGTCCTATAAAGTCAAAATCAAAAAATAGGTTACATACTTCCAACATAGGATCTATATTACCATTCCAAAACATAGAGAAAGGAGAATAATGAGGAAAAACTGGACTAAAGCAAGAGGGAAAATCTGCACAAACTCCAAACTCTATACCTCCATGTCTGATGTCAAAATGCTCTTCAGCTCGCCAATTCCTTTTAGCTTTGTTGACTGCAACACACTTCTTTCTCTGGACTGGTTCCATTCCATTAGCAGCTTTCCTTGGCAGGTATCCCACAGCTCTGGCATCTCCAACATCATGGGGTCTCCAGGGCCATCCAGGCTTCACCTTCACAGCTTCACACAATGGCCTCTCTAGGCCTCCATGCAGGGACACCCCTGACACATGCCTGGCCTCAGTGGCTTTCCTTTGTAGCTGAGATCCCATAACCCCTTTCTTCTAACCTTGATTCTAAAGCCAGAACCACATGGCTGAAGCTGCCAAATTCTGCTGCTTGTTGGGGTTGGAACATGGCCCCCTCTTTCAAAAATCTTTACTGACCATCTGGTTTGATGGCTTCCTTCACTGCCTAAGCTTGGCTGTCCTAAAACTCTATCTGTAGATCAGGCTGGCCTCAAACTCAGAGAGCCACTCACCTCTGCCTTCTGAGTACTGGGATTAAAGGCTTGAGTACTGAGGTTAGGTCCACCACGCCTAGACCGAAGTGTTTCTTTAATTCTTTTTCACAAACTGGAAGCTTAACTGGGTGGGGTCTTGCCCTAAGGTCATCACTCCCTTTATTCCATTTCTTCATCTGTTTATCTCCTTGAACACAGGACTTAGCTCTATTTCACTTTCTGGTGTCCCTTTTCTCCTCAATCTGTACATCTTGTATTTTCACTTGCTCAGCTCGCCCGTTTTCATTATAAATCCTCACAAGAGCAAACACTAATAACCACAGGACAGAATCAGTATTAGTCTTCTATGAGATTTCCTTTGCCAATGCAATTAATCCAAAACTCTTCACTTTAGCCTCAAACTTTTCAGACAAGGGCAAAAAGCAGCTACGTTCTTCACCAAAATATCACAAGAAGGATTTCTAGGTAACATACTAAAATTATTCTCCTCTGAAGCCTCTTGAGGCAGGATCTCTCAGCTCAAATCACCCTCAGCACAACTGTCTTCCATGTCCCTACTAGTATGGCCTATTAAGCAGCATTTAAAGCATTCTACTGCTTTCCTAACCCAAAGTCCCAAAAACATGGTCAAGCTTATCACAACAATATCCCACTCCTGATACCAACTTCTGTCTTAGTTAGGGTTTCTGTGACCACAGCAACTCTTATAAAGGAAAACAATTAATTGGGGCTGGCTTGCAGTTTTGGAGGTTTAGTCCATTATCATCATGGCAGGAAGCATGGCAGTGTGCAGGCAGACATGGTGCTGGAGAAGGAGTTGAGAGTTCTACATCTTGATCTGTAGGCAGCAGCAGGAGTCTGTGTCACTAGGCCTAGTTTGAGCATATATAATGGACCTCAAAGCCTGCCTCCACAGTGACACACTTCCCCCAACAAGGCCACACCTCCTAATAGTGCCACTCCCTATGGGCCAAGCATTCAAACATATGAGTCTATGGGGCCCATGCCTATTCAAACCACCACACAAATGGTATCCAAGTTATCCATGAATCTTCCAGACCAGAATGTAAGTGCTTTACTTCCCTATCTCCTCAGAACTTCACATACTGCCCAACACAGAACCTTAATAAATATCCAGACAATGAAATCAATAACTCAAGTCAATGCATTTGTCTCAACAGTACTTAAACCTCTATAGTACGGGGTCATCCTAACTCTACAAATGAAAGGTAGAAAGAGTGTTTGATGAGGCTTTTTGAAGTATCAAGAGGTGAAGAGGAAACTCCTGGAGTCAGTCTCACCACTACCACCAGTTAAAAGCAACTCTGGGTGTGGTTGGCGACTCTCTTTGCTGTTCTGGATCCTTTGTTCCCTCCTCCTACTGACACCTCATCCTTTCTCCCTCCCAGCTGTAATGGGAACAAAACTGCTACCCTTTCTATCCCCACTGATCAAAGCATATGGTTTCCTCTTGCCACCAACCTCTTTCAGTTTCTATCTCGACTCTAAACCAAACAAATTTCTCCAGCTGTTGTGCTGCTGCTAGCTCATAGCACCAAGTCTTAAATCAGTCCCATTACCAGCTAGGGGTTTTTTTTTTTTACCAAGACTTCAGGCTGAGGACCAAGCCAACAAGGGGGGAATCAGGAAACAAAAGGGCTCCAGAAAGTTGAACTGTAAGAAACCTAGGGGCTGATTCCAGTCCCAAGATGACAGACAGCACCTCCCACAATCCCAAGCCTAGGCCTTGTTCTAACAGTATGGATGGGCACCATCATCACACAAGACAAATAGGCTGCTTGCAGACAATCTCTAGTCTAGCACCCTTGGGAGGGCAAAGCAAAACTACCAGAAAATATCCTACAGGACACTGAAGAACTCATTAGTCTCCCTTCATCTGCCCCAAGATTGGTTGGGGTCAGTCTAGCTCCTCTGCACATCCCTGAGGATCAGGCACAACAACTTGTCAAACCATGGCCACAATCCAGCTCTGCTCAGGAACTCTAGACTCTAGGCCTCAAAACAGAGTGGGATACCTTCCAGGCTCCACAGAAACGGCTTGGAAAGAAAGGAGTTTCCCAATACAGAATTATTCTGACCATCTACTTTCTTCTCATGAGGTGACTGTAAATATCTAATACACAATGTTCAAGAACCTCTGAGGTCTGAACCAGTCCTAGCAAGAACTCCCAGTGGAGACTTGTGCTCTTGTGGTAGCCTACGGCAAGGTTGGCAAATTTTTATCTTTAATGTCTTAAAGGATAAGATGGTAAATATTTCAAGCTTGCAGGTCATACGGCTCTTGTACCTACTTGACCATGTCATTGTGGTAATACATAAGCAACAGGCATTTCTAAGATCCGATAAAGTACAGAAATAAGCACCTGGTCTATAGGCCATAGTTTTGTTCACTAGGATCTGCTTTTTAGCATTTCATGTTTCAGAGAGGAACAGAGGTCATCATGTAGCTATGTACCCCTACTATGAGATTCAGGTCTCCATTTCTGCTACTTGCTCTATAAGACACTAAAAAAGTCCAGTCTGTTTATTCTGAAAACCAACCTGGAATCAGAAACTTAAGCAAAAGTAGAAATGGCTATAGACATCATTTCTGGGAGCTTGACCCTGACTCTGTACTCCTATTCAGCAAGTGACAGACAGAAAGAAAGTGTGTCAACAGTACTTCCTGAGCCTTTAAATCAGTGGTCCTCAACCTTCCTAATGTTGTGACTATTTAATACAGTTCCTCATGTTGTGGTGACCTCCAACCATAAAATTATTTGTGTTGCTACTTCGTAACTGTAATTTTCCTACTGTTATGAATCATAAAAAAAATCTGTGTTTTCCAATGGTCTTATGCGCATCCCCTGTGAAAGTGTCGGTTGACCCTTCAAATGGGTTACAACCCACAGGGTGAGAACCACTGCTCTAAGTGAATGGCAAAGGCCAATATAGGGAGGGAAGTGCGTCTACATGTGTTACATTACTCAGACATGGCTACAAAAAAGAAGAAAGTGTAAACAAAAATCTACATTTTAAAAATAGATATGGTATGATAGAAGATGTAGATGGTTGACAGAAACTAGCCCAGGAGTCTGAAAGGGTCTTGGGATAATAAACAAGAACAAGGCATACACCTGTACTTTCAAGCTCTTCCTAGAACTGACTTCCATCTCACACTCCGTAAATCTGACCATAAATATTTCTATACTGATATCCCAATGTCATCCCAAAGATAGCTAAAAACAAATCAAATGTGTCTCCCTTGAAAAAGTTTGAATACTAACTTTCCTATTTCCAGCAACCATTAAGGCTCAAAATTTTAGCACCTTCCTTCTCCATGTCCTGTCCCCAAGCCAAAATGGCTGTCTGACCTGTCTCTCCCTTCTATTTCCACAGGCTTCACACTAACTCCCACCTCCAGTCTGGTATCTTAGCTGTCTTCTGCCTATACCACCTCCCCTACCCCTATGCCAGGTTTATAATGATGTAGATATAGGATTTTACCCTATATACTTACTCATCCTCCTCCCATGCATACATTCTTTTCAAGGTCAAGGCTCACTGCTACCTCTCTGGCTTCCAAGCTTCCAGAACCTTACCTAATTTAAGGGGCGTACAATAATTGTTGAATGAACCCTGATTTTCATCATGAGGCATATCATTACTTCCCACACCCTGAGCCCAGAGCAGCGCACTCTGCAGGCCCTCTACCATCTCACTCTCCCCCTCCTACCTATCTACCATTCTGAAAACAACCTCTGGCTTGAAGAGCTGATCAATTCCTGACCCTCTCCATGTTCCTGTCATTGCTGCATCACATCTCTGCCCACGCTTGGCTAACCTTGCCCAGTGATGACGTCGATGCCCTGCCCCCTCCATGTATTCCAACTCCCACGCAACTGCCAACTGTGGAGCTTTAGGGGGAGCTAAGAGATGCAGGAAAGGGGGAGATGATAAAAAACGGACAATGAAGGGCATTAAGAGGGTATGCTGGAGTCTTTGATCCCTAAGACCATCACCCTCCTAATGGGCAGGGTTGGCAGACAATTGAAAGCGGAGGACGAGGAAGAGGAGAAGGAAGAGGAGGAGGAGGGAGAGGGGGAGGAGGAGTTGGAGGAGGGACCAGATTTTTCCACTGAAGGAAAAGCATGATTTCACCACTGCTTCTGTTGCCCTGGTAACCATGGACAGCCCAGTGGAGAGTACAGTAAAAGAACACCATGTTTATCTTTGCTGTCTAATCCGCTTCCCTGTACACCCTTCCCTGACCACCTCTTGTCCCCTAGGTTTGCTCTAAATGTCTTACAATGCCAATATCATCATTCCAGTCTGTTGCTCAAAACCTCAAGGGCAGAGCTAATCCTCACTATCAAGCACAATGTATCATGTGTTCCACATCTTAGGGGTTATCTCACCACACCCACCTGCCATGCCAGGTAGCTCCAAAAACTAACAGCTGGACTCAAAGCTCAAGAATGGCATCCACACTACCAAACAATCCACTCAGCTAGGAGAAATAAAATTACAAAATGGAGAAAACTGCCCAGCCAGCACCTTTCTTAGTACTGAATTGCTGGAGTGTACTGGGTACCTATTCAGTTAAACCCCTCCTGTTCCAAAATCATCAAAAGACTCCTGGCTAGGGATGAGCTGGGAGAAAAGGTCCATCCAAAAACCATAGATCCTTTCTCCTACATAGACATATATACCTTATCAGCGTGACCTCAGAACAGAGAAAGCTATCACTGTGGGAGATTATGTAAGTGTTATATAACATGACGGCACCAATAGCACCAACGCAGTTATCCAATGCCAGAGGCAGGCCAGGAGTGGAAACCAGCCCAAGGGGCTGGCATACACTCTCTTGCCACCAGTGCCAAAGAAAGCCAGGCCCTTACTGCCTCAGCTCTGTCTATACCTGCTCCTTCCACCCGAGAGGACAGAGAGACTTGCCTGGCTCTTGCATTCTTCTTACCCTGCTGGGTGGCAGGTGGGGGCCAACACACCCTGGCTAAAGGCAGACTCTGTACAGCCTGGCAGAAGGACACCCAGAAGCCTTGGCAAGGGAGGGGTAAGGTCCAGAGAGCCCTCTATTTTGACATAACAAGCACTGCAGCAGCAACAGGTTTGGCTGGGCCAGTTGTCCTCTGCTCTGTCACTTGCTGTTTCTCTAAAAAAAAAAAAAAAAAAAAAAACCAAAACAAAAGACAAATTACGCCAAATTGAATAAAAATAATAATAAAAGCATATTTGGCAAGTGCCAAATCCCATCTCTGACTACAAACAATGCTACGAAGGAGTCCTGAGTATATTCCCGTTTCCCCATAGCCTCACTTCCCCCATAAGGAAGATGACCCACCACCTAGGAACTTAAGGTGCAGCATGTAGAGCTGTCCACAACTCTTGACTCTATCTGCCCCATCCCTGCAGCTGCCTAGGTTGCTAGAGCAGCTACCCAGAGGGCTTGCTCCTCCTCCTCCCCCGCCCCACTCAGCGGCGCAGGCGTCTGTGGCTGGTGACTGTGCACACCGGCCAGGGGGGCGCAGCTGGCTAGTTCAGAGCTCCATCCAAGTCTCCCATCATCACTACCACACCCACGTTATTAATGGGGAAGGGGAACCGCACAGAACCTGCCCGGTAGCATCTCCTCTGGCTGCACCTGCGAGTCCCAAGCTACACCCTGGCCTTCCCTCATGCACCTCCATGCCTCTGAAGAGCTAGAAGGAGCAAGCTCCCACATCTCAAACAGGCTGCGCCGTCCCTCGCCCCCTCAACCACCGGTCTCCGCTTCCCTCCCACGAAGCCTCTCCCAAGTCGCCGCACCCCTGCGTGGCACCACGCTCGCCGCCTACAGGGAAGCTGAGTTGCAGGGCGCAGTTCAGGTTCCTGCGCCCGGGGCTGCGGCCCCTCAGGCCTGCACCGCCCAGACAGCCGTCCGCGACCGCCTGCCTGCGAGGCGGCAGCGGAGGGGTAAGCGCGGCCGGGCCGGGCACGCAGGGGCCACGCGCGGCCTGCCTGGCTCATCCCGCCCCGCAGCTCCTACCTGGGCGGCCCGCGGCTTCCGGCGCAGCACAGCAATCGCAGCCCCGCGGCGCAGCAACCCGCGGGAGGCGCAACGCTGCGGACTCAGCTCCGCCCGCTCTTCCCACGCTCCGCGCCCGCGCCGCGCCACCCTGCGGCCAAGTCCGGCGCTGCGCCTGCCGGGAACGCGGTCGCCTCCGCCCATCCATGCGAAAAGCCGCAGAGGATCTGACCAGCCAGCCAACCACATTCTCGCCGCCAATAGGCCCGCCCTAATCTGAGGGCGGCTCCAGAGCTGTCCTTTTCTTCACTGGTCCTGGTTCTTCTGACCTTCCCTTCCCAAGTTTCTCTCTCATGACACCTCGCATAAGGTAAAGAGTTGGAGATGTGGGTCGGGCTCAGGCAACTAAGGGAAATTCACAGGTGTTCATCTAGGTCCCTTCTGGAGCTCCGTCGAAAAAGATTATGCTTTCGTCTACCTGTAAATTTTTATTCAGGGGATGTTTTCTTGACAGTTTTCTAACTTAGACCCGTAGGAAATTGGAGAAGAACTGTGGGCCCTCTCTACAGAAAAATGCGCACTCACACAGAAGCAGAGTTTTGCATGGTATTTCAGGATATTTTTAACTTCTCAGTGTCGTGACCGCCAGCTTCAGACCTCTGTGGGTGCCTGTGGCAGGTAAGCCAGTTGGCAGTTCCTGAAACTGCCACTTTGCTGTCTTTCTGGGACATCTTCACCAGTCTCTGAGCTCATGTTTCTGCCTATAAAAATATCTTTTTGTAGTCCCAGCGATGGGGATTGGAGGCAGAGCGTAGACTGACAGATTGTAGAGGAGCCTGGTTTCTGGCCAGTCTAGCCGCCTCTACTTCTGACCACACACACCCTCCTCCTTCTCCTTTCCTTAAAGGCTAGCACAAAAGTCTATTTCTCCTTGATTTTCTGGCATCACATTCTGCTTTTTAACCACTGTTAGATATACATACACCTGTTGATGTTTCTGTAGTTGATTGTAAACTCTTTTAAGATCAGTCTTTTCCTTCTGCAACTAAGGTAATTTACATAGTTCATTTATTTGACAATAGTTTATAAATATTCAAAGTGAAGGAATTGAGGGAAATGCAAGTGGTAGGTAGCAGTGAGCTACCCAGAGGAAACTGTACCCTCCCTCTCTTTGGTTGCTCCAACAGCAATATATATTCTCCCAGGTATAACTCCATGGCTGGAAAACAGAGTCCTTAAGGTGGCAAGATCTTCTCATTTCTTTTTCTTCTGCACAAAGCAGCCTCAATTCAGTGGTTGCTAGATGAGTTAGGATACAAGTTCATGCAGAATGCATCTGCCAAGCAGCAGTTATTTATTCTACCACTAGTGTCCGTGAGTCCAATAAGGGGCACCACCCCTTACCCATTGCACCTGATAGAAGAAACCAGAATGTCACCAATAATTTTCACTCCCTCCAGCCAATTACTATGTTTTGTGACTTTTCCTGGGAGATATGAACAAACCAATCCATGACAGCCAAAGAAACTGTTCCAATCAAGTTTAACTTAGTGAACCAGTGAATTTATTGGGGTGGCTTATAGGAACATGGATGACTGAGGCTTGTAGCTAGAGTTTTCCTTCCTGGCCCACAGTCAGGACAAATCTCTGTCACCCGCCAGTCCCACAGCCGCTCAGACCCAACCAAGTAAACACAGAGACTTATATTGCTTACAAACTGTATGGCCGTGCCAGGCTTCTTGCTAACTGTTCTTATATCTTAAATTAATCCATTTCTATAAATCTATACCTTGCCATGTGGCTCATGGCTTACCAGCATCTTCACATGCTGCTTGTCATGGCAGTGGCTGGCAGTGTCTCCCTCCGCCTTCCTGTTCTTTCAGTTCTCCTCTCTGTTAGTCCCACCTATACTTCCTGTCTGGCTACTGGCCAATCAGTGTTTTATTTACTGACCAATCAGCAACACATTTGACATACAGGCCATCCCACAGCAGAAGCTGCATGACTGAAAAGCCCAACTCCCATCCTGAATGACAATTCATGAAATCTGCAGTTGTGGAACTTCCTGACCTGCGTATAGACAGCTCAGACTATCTTCTCTTCACAGCTGTTGCTACTGCTTATATAACCTTAAGGAGGGGCCTTGTGACTTGTAAATTTCAGGAGCTTTTTGAGACTCCTCAGTTTTGAACCTTATACATTTAGTTTGCTTCCTGAGTCTTAAGAAGACTGCTTCCAGGAGGGTATGTTGCAGTATGGAAATAACTCCATAACACACGATATCCATACTCTACTTTCTAAATCAAACTTCAGAGGTCCTCTTCCTCTTTATTCCCAGCTCAGAACCGTGTGTGTGTGTGTGTGTGTGTGTGTGTGTGTGTGTGTGTGTGTGTGTGAGTTTCCACATTTGTCTCCACCTCAGCTACCCTTTCTTCTTCCAGCCTCACCAGGCTCAGATCCAGGCCCACATCTGCTGTGGGCTGTATGTGTGTCCTCTTAAAAATTATTTTCAAATCCAGAGATCCAATGAAATGGTATCAGGAGGTAGAACATTTGGGATATAGTAAGGACATGGAAGTGAAACTTTTGTGAATGGAATGTATGTCTTTAAAGAAGGGGCATTTGCAGGGTGCAAGCTACACACAAATGCAATCTCAGTACTTTAGAGTCTGCAGCAGGAACATCATGAGTTCCTGACCGGCCTAGGCTATATATATATAGAAAAATATAAAAGAATACACCAGGGAACTTGCTCATTCTCACTGCTCTCTACCACTTGAAGAAAAACCAAGAAGACAGGATTTTAAAAAAAGAAAAAAAAACCTGCAAAAACAGAGGCTAACCTTTACCAGAAACAAATTTTGAAAGCATCCTGATCTTGGGCTCCTCAGCCTTCAGAACTATGAGAAATAAGCACCTGTTGTGTAATCTATCCAGTCAATAGTTTTCTATTATAGCAGCTCAGAAGAAAGACAACATTTCAGACTGAAGGGTCACTGAAAGTATCAATCTCTTCTCTGCTTAGAACCATGTGAGAGCCAAACCTCTTCACCTGGCTCACTAGGCTTCAAAGATCTCCTTAACTGTATCCCCAGCCTCCCCTCTTGGTACTTTCCTTAATTGCATGCTTCACTCATACTAAACAGCAGCCTCCTTCCCACTCAATAGTAAACACTCTCCCTGCTACACCCTACTCAACTTCAGCTATCCCCTTTGCCTTCTCTTGCGTCTCTGTTCTGAGTCCATTCTTTTTATGGCATTAGTCCCTCAATACCGATATTTACTTCTGTGACATCTGCTTTCCCTGTCTTGGTGAGACCTCTGCACCAGTGTTCTCCATGCCTAGCACAATATCTGATGTTATGTAGAAGCATGAACATTCCAATATAAATGAAAGGTAGACTATAACACACACCCCAGATAAGAGACCCTGGGGCAAATATAGTAGTACTCTGAAATGTGGTAAGATCAGCCTTGTTTTGTTCTGTTTGATTTTTTGTTTGTTATGATAATGTCTCACTATGTAGCCCAAGCAGACCTCAAACTCACAATCCTGCCTCAGTCTTCTGAGTGCTAGGAATACAAGTGTGTAACACCACACCTGGCTAGAAGACAGAAGGCAGATTTTAAATACTAGCACCACTCACCATTTTCAAATGATTTTCAATCTTTCTGAGTCTTCAATTTCCTTAACTGAAAATGGGAATGATAACACCCAGGATTGCTCTTAAATATATGTGGTACTTTACAATTTTAAAATCTTCTCCATCTATATATTAGCCAGTTATATTATATCACTTCACTTGATCCTTGCAGTAACATTTTCATTTGACAGCTGAGAAATTTTCATATGAGGAAACTGAAGTGAATCAATGGAACACCATTTTCCATAGGTTACCTAGCTAGTCACCAGGTAACAGAAGTTTGAGGTTGCATTCCAAGTCTAGGTATTTTCTACCACCAACAACCCCCAACCTGCTCCTCCCTTCCAGCTCTAGAGGAGGAAGCAATGTTTGGGCACATATATCATAGTCATGTAGCTAACGAATGGAGACACAGAACTTCTGAAGGATTTTTGATGTATAAGGTAGTTTGGTTGGGAAAACTTGAGAATAGGAAGAAATGAGCTGAAGAGTAGTTGACCTTGAGGCTAACCATATACTTGAATTTTTGTCCCCCTTTGCATCCTAATTGAATAATCTCAATTGAAAGATCATCTTTATATGACACTGGACACTTTCAGGCTCCAAGATTACCAGCAGCTGGGGTCTGTTTACTCCATATTTACACTTCTACTCAAATCACCAAACAGCTATCAAACTCTTATTAAATGTTTTGTTATGGCTTGCAGACATCTGGCCGAACTAACCTCTCTGAACCTCCATTTCTCCATTCTGTAAAATGGGATTGATAATATCCCAGCACATAGCTGTTATGTGAATTAAGCAAGATGATAAGACAGCTGTTGGTGGGCTATTGCTAGTGGAAACACCTGCCCCAACATCCTACCCTGTGTCTGATGGTTTTTATGCTCATAGGATGTCTGTTTATCAACTAGGCAGAGGACAGAGGGGCGCTTAGGAGCCTGAAAAGCACAGAAGGAGTATGAAGGCTGTTGTTCTCTTCTAGTGTTCCTTTCACAGAGATATGGAAACAGCTTTGAGGCTCAGAGCTTTTTGGAACTGTTCAATAATGACTTGTGAATCATATGCAGTAATGTTATCTATGTTGATGGCTGTTGCCTGAAGCTGTAAACTTATCTGTTATGCAAAAGTATTTTTTTTTTAAAGACAGAATCTCTCTATGTAGCCCAGTTTGGCTTCAAGCTTGCAGTTCTCCTGCCTCAGCCTCCCAAGTTTAGGTGTATAGGTGTGCATTACCACACTCTCACATAGAAGGAATTTGATGAGAGGCTTACCCAAGATCTTGGTAGGCAGGAGGCCTGGGCCAGTGATTGCAAAAACATGAAAGCAAGAGCAAAGTAGTTTTCTTACTGACCACAGTTAGGGTCAGGGCTCATCTGAGGCTTCTTTCGGGAATTCCCAGAAATAACTAGAAGGCACTTTGAAACTATCAATGAAATCATCAAACAAGACATTATAAATATTAAGGACAGAAATGGCATCAGGCATTTAGTAAGAACTCTATACACATAAGTTCCTTAAGATGAGTGCACTTGAGCACCAGGCAGAGAACCCCTCTGTTGATGAGTCTTCTGATGCCACCTTTGCACAGAATTGTGTGTGTGTGTGTGTGTGTGTGTGTGTGTCTGTCTGTCTGTGTGTCTGTCTGTCTTGAGCTCCAGGAAACACCCAGTGGAACTATCCTTCATGGGTCCTCTTGTGATTATGGTGTTTTTTTTTTCTTTAAAGATTAAATCGTTTTTTTTTTTCCTCTTTCTGTTCAACAAAGACAACAGCCCTTTGGTTTTTGATAAATGTTCCTTTCCTTGTAGCAGGTGGATTTGCCCCAGGCATTAAGAGCTGTGCTTTTAAAACACACAGAAGCCCAGCTGTTTGTATCTGCTGCATCTTTTTTCTCCTATTTTCTGCCCTGAAGGCTGGGTTTTCTCTGCTTTGGCAGGCTGATAACATGTGGAAGGGAGGGAACAGTTCCAACTAATAGACTAATTAGTGATACAAGCCTTTAATAACTGAGTATAGGAAAGTCATTCCCTACCCTCAAGTGATTAATTTATTTATTGCTGTTGTGCTACATTAAGGTAAACTAGTTAACTTCTAGCTATTGGCAACTTCAATCAATCCCCTTTCTTCATTCCCTTCCTTTCCTTTGCTATAGTGTGCTCAGGCAGTATAGAAGAATCAATTCAGCTGACAGGCAGCTCTGGCAGAAGTGCTGATGTCACCATTTCTCACGCCATTAAGAACAGTAGGAACTGTGAAAATCCAGCTACTTTTACATGCTTGCTTCTTAAAGGCCCTGTCCTCATGGCCCCTTCTACCAATGGTTATAGCCTACCAGTTTTGTTTTTCAGAATTAGCCTACTATGGGGCTTAAAAGCATATATTGACATTCAATGGCCTGGATTTCAATTTTGGCTTCCTCATTGGCTGTCCAGAGGATCTAAAATAAGTCCTTTCACTTCACTATGCCTCAGTTTTCCCACTTGTAAAACGTTGCTGTGGAACTCTTTATTTTGGGGGGATGACATGGCCATTGCCATCTTGAAGTCAGAACAGCTATAATCATTCACAATTGACCCTCACAAGATCAGGCCTATTAACATTCCTTCCAAGAAGGTGGGTGGGGAGGATCAATGGACTTTCAATTTCAATTCTAGCCATGCAGTCTTGACCTACCCCAAGTTTTGTGTAATCTTGCTCCAGCTTCATGTGGTTTGGGGAGATGCTAAAGAATATAGGATTCCAATAAAGTAGCACTCACTAGTTGTCATCTGTGGTGTGATAGGGCTTTTTGGTGATGGAGATCTTTGTGAATCACCCATGAGTAGCATGTAAGTGACCCTTCACTCATGCTCCTATACTCAAGCCCAATAAACTCCTTGGTTCACCAAGCTGAATGGAATTGCTTTTTTGGCCCGTCATTGGTTGCCCTATTTGGGGTGAAGACATGTTTATTCAAGTCTTCTCAAGAAGAGTTGTGTAACAAGTGGGAATCCATTTGTTTCTCCCTAAGGTTCATCTGAGGATCCAATGAAGTAAATTTTGTCTAGTACTTAGGGCATACTAAGCCCTCAGTAGCTATTAAATATACCTCGTACATAGGAAGATAATTTGATGAATTCTAGTAGAATAAATGAGTAGCATAATTTATGAGTAGATTATGAAGCCTTGATGTTCAAAGGGATGAAAATAGGAGGAAATGAATAATAAATCAAAATAATAAAGGCCTTTAGTTGAGTGCTTATCAATCAAGGTCTATGTTCTGAGCTAATTGCTTCTTGTACATTCTTTCATCTAATCCTTATGTAACCTGATTTTTATCAGCCTTCTTAAATCATGACTTGTTTGTTTGTCTGTCTGTCTGTCTGTCTGTCTGTTTTAAAAGCCTGAGCCCCCATACAAAATTATGTGAAAACTGTGTGCTCTCCCTAGGTCTCCAAGGACTCCTGGAGAAAGGACTGACATATTCATGTTTGCCTATGAAATCCTGGACCAGCTGAATTCAAGCTGCTTCTGGAAGGTGTTGCTATTGTCTTTTCTTTTTAAGGCTTCAGAACACAGGACCATTTGTACAAAGATTTTTACTGAAAGCAGGGCACAGCACAGGATACTTACAGGTTCACCAATGCAGCCATATCTAAAGTCCTCTATTGATGCTCCAAGATACTCCTTCCCAGCTGTTCTGCACCCTGAGCCCTGCTGCTATCATGTTTCCATCTCTCTAAGACTCTCAGCCATCTCTCTACTGCCTCCTATATCTTTCTGCAAACAGTAGATTATTATGCAAAGAAATTTAGTTTTTGGACAAAGTCTCCACTCTAGGCTATTTTCAGTCTGAGGTCAGAGAAAAATTATATCTGCCCTTCCTCTTAAAGATGTTTGGGTATGCCGGGCGGTGGTGGCGCACGCCTTTAATCCCAGCACTCGGGAGGCAGAGCCAGGCGGATCTCTGTGAGTTCGAGGCCAGCCTGGGCTACAAAGCGAGTCGCCAGGAAAGGCGCAAAGCTACACAGAGAAACCCTGTCTCGAAAAACCAAAAAAAAAAAAAAAGATGTTTGGGTGTGCCTATATGAATTTATGTGTACCATGTCTTATGCTGATGCCTACAGAGGCCAGAGAGCAGGAGATCCCCTAGAACTGAAGTTACAGGTGATTGTAAGCCACCCAATGTGGGTATTAAGAGCAGAACTCACATTCTCTACAAGAACAATAAGCTTTCTTAGCCACTTCAGTCCCATTGTCTGCTCTTTAACCAGATGTTACTAAAGAGTTTTCTTTTACCAATGAGCAAAGTACTTCTAAGATTAATTCTGCCCCACCCTAATGAAGGCATAGGGCAGTAATTTGTGGCATAGCATCTTTTTATATATTATTTCCCCCTTTTTCATAAATGAAGAAACAGAAGTAAGGGGGTTTGAAATGTAATACACTCAAGGTCACATAGCTAATATCAGAGCTAAATCCAATTGTAGACTGTCTGACTCCAGAGCCTCATGGATTGACCACAAAGCAGCTCAGGCAGGTCCAAGCAGTTCTATTCATGATTCTAGGGTAACTCAAGAAATCCTCCCATGAGAGAGTCTTGGGGCTCAGAGGAAAGTGAATTGATTGAGCAAGGCCAATGACATTCAGATGAGTTAGAGCTTAGAATAACTGCTGGCCTATAGTTTCGTGTCAGAGACCCTTAAGTTGCCAGATTCACCTGCTGATGCTGCTGTCTCTGAATTACACTGCGCTGTGTTCATCTTTGGTAAGCTGTGATCAGGGAAGACAAGGCAGGCTTTCTTTTGCTTATTGAATCCAAACTTCTTAGGTAAAACAATTTCATCAATTTGGTTGCCAGTGATGTCTAAAATGGCTAGCAAAATGAAGAAGGCTTCTCCAAAAGTTCCATTAAAAAGCTACAAAAAGAACGATTCATTTCTGTCCTAGTTTTGTCTCTGTTGATGTGATAAAACACTGACCAAAAACAACTTGGAGATGAAAGAGTTTACCTGGCTTACATCAAGGAAAAGCCAGGACAAGAGCTCAAGACAGGAACCTGAAGCACAGATTGTAGGGAAACATTTCTTACTGCCTTGTTCTCAGGCTCATGTTCAGCTATCTTTCTTATACCTCCCAGAACTGTCCTCCTATATTGATCAACAATTAAGAAAATGCCACACAGACATGCCTACAGGTCAATCTGGTGAAGGCAATTCCTCAAATGGGGTTCTGTCCTTTGGTAGCTGTAATGGTTATCCAGTCAACTCTTAAAGTATCACAGTGATTGTCTGCAGGCCTCAGTACTAGCTAAGGTTTAAATCTCCACCAAGCGTCTTGGAATATACTAAAGGGGAAACTCATGTATTTTTCATAGTTCTGAAAATTACTTGAAAATGTATGTGTATGTTTGTTGAGCTAAAGTATTTTTTGCTGTCTTTCTCTTCTGTTAGAGCTATAAGTTCAATGAATGTCTGCTTCATTCTGTCTCTAGAGCAGCCACTACACAGAATATACTTGATAAAACTTGTTGAATGGCTAAATTGTAATAGAAAATCATTGGGCCATGAGTAGGTTTATAAGGAAATGAGTAGCATCCTATTGCACAAAATTGTTTGCCTATACCTGGGCTTATGCCATGATAAAGAAATACAGGATTGATTTATCTAGAAGAGATAGAAAGGGGATAGTGCACTTGTCAAGACTTAAAGGACAGTCATTTATCTGCTTAGATGGAAAGCTGGCAAAAGAATCCATGTGTGCAACCATAATGAATGCAGAGCCTCATAGCCTCCTAAGATTTTTGTTCCTAGGCTCAGAACCTGCTAGGCTTTTGAGTCCTGGCACAGTACACAGTTGTGAAATGATGCAAAAATGTAGTCACGAACTCACTCTGAAACATGCCACTGGCATTGAAACACCCAACTGAAGTTACCTAGAGGCCTCTGCAGAAGAGCAGGATGCTAAGATGAAAGGAAGCCTCACATTTAGGACATCCTTCCTAAAGCCTTAGTGTGGATTAGCTGCATGTAGGGAGTTGAACTGAATATATATTTAAAGTCCTCTCCATTGTTACCTTTCTGTGTGTGTGTGTGTGTGTGTGTGTGTGTGTGTGTGTGTGTGTGTGTGTGTGCTATGAATGAGATAAATTGTACTAGACTGTTACGGGTAGAACACCAGATAGAAATCCAACAAACATAAAGTACTGAGGCTGAACAGTGGGAACCCAGCAGGGCCAGCAGGTGGTGCCATTGCTGCATCATGATTTTCAGGCCTAGTGGAAAAGTAATGCTTTAGAGTAAGCTATCCAGCCATCATAGCCACTGATCCATCTGCCCCCAGCACATACACACCTTTCCCCTAAAGTTTACATCCTCAGAAATGAGAGTAAAATGGTCCTGAGGCCCTTTTGCTTCTTTTCTCCCTCTAATGTTTCCAAGGACTCCATTTCCAGTCCTTAACTACTTTCCAGACACCACTAACCAGGACCAGACCCTTAACTGGTAATTCATTGCAAGGTATGCTATTAAATGGAGGCTAACTAGACTTTTTTTTTTTAATGTGCATTGGTGTTCTGCCTGTATGCATGTCTGTGTGAGGGTGTCAGATCTTGTAGTTACAGACAGTTATTAACTGCCATGTGGGTGCTGTGAATTGAACTCATGACCTGTGGAAGAGCAGTCAGTGCTCTTAACTGCTGGGCCATCTCTCCAGTCCCGGCTAACTAGACTTTTATGTTCAATCACCATCCTGTCTTTCTCTGATCCCCCAAACAGCCACCACCTTTTGGGCAAGGTCTAGCCTTGCCCCTCAGCTTCCTTAATCCTAGGGAGAAGTCTCTATTAGCAAAGTTAGACAAATGCCAGCAAGAAATGGGTTGGGGGTGTGTCTGGCTTTGACACGATAAGACTGGAAGAAGCAAACTTTGTTTAGCCTTTAACTCCCTATGCACTGTTGACACACTTAGGGGTGTTCCCAGAGGCCTCTGAAAATCCAGCAGCATCCCTCTTCCACTACTTGTGGCATGTGGGCAGCTCACCTGGAATCTGGGATGGGCAAGTACTTGCATATGACTGCTGTATCTGGGAGCTGGCAGCCAGCTCCAGAATAGACCTCACATAGTGGTTCCTGGTTATACTATGAGCTGGGTTAGAGGATGATCAGGTAACAAAGGCTGCCTAGAACATAAATCCTTTCCTTTGTTTTGTATGTTTTTCATGCAGCCACTTACATGCCCCACTTCTCAGAATGGTGTTTCTGAATACCCAGCATTCCTCCTGAGCTGCACTGCAGCCTGCCCTTCTCTCCACTATAGAAAGCTTCTAGCCTCTTTGCCTCCCAACATGGAGGGGAGTATTTCACAAATTCACAAGTTCTGGGCATCCTGTCCAGCAGCTATGTCCCTTCGGTATGCTGACCTCCTCCTTGGTTGACCTCCCCACCACTACCACACAATCTCCCCAGACCTCATATGGAAACCACCCTGTCACTTAGCACACTCAGCATGATAGGGCCACAGCACAGATTTCATCATCACTTTAATTATATTATTCTCACTCATCACTGTTTATTCAGAAAAAAATCCACCCAATCCTCTCATCTCTGGAAAGTTCTGTTTCCAGCCTCATTGAAATCAGGATCCCTGTTTTCCCCTCTGAAAAAATAAGAGAAGGGGTCCTGGGTCAACCCCAGGAGAGGAAGCTTGTAATCTTGAAGGGGTTTAGGCTAGGAAAGGCACAGACAGAAAGGAATCTACCAGGGGACTGAGACCACAGCTCCCCCAGGAGTCAGAGGGCGGGGGAAGTCATAGATTTTAGAGAAGACTAGGGGCCTCAAAGCAAGAGGATTCTTCTGAAGAGCTCAGGTCAGGAGGCTTAGCTCAACTGAGCCTGGTAGCTCAGGCCTGTAATTCAAGCTACTTGGAAGCCTAAAGCAAAGAGTTTAAGGCCTGCCTAGACTTCATAGTTCAAGGCAAGCCTGGTCACCTACATGAAACCTTGTCTCTAAATAAGAAGAAGAAGGAGGACTGAGGATACAGCTCAATGGTAGAGCACTTGCTTAATATGTGTGGAGTTCTGGGGTCAATCCCTAGCAACAAAATAAAACAAAAAAACAGAGTTCAAAGTCTTGTTCCACTGTCCTGTCTACACTGAACCAATGAGAATTCCTGTGTGACCCCAAGAGACCAAGTGAGCTGTTGCTTTAAAACATGGAGCCCAGTACCAGGATTCAGATAGAAAGTTGTCCTGGCCTCTGTAGACAGATTTTTCAGGAACAGGTGACCAAGAGAGAAGTTGGTGACTAAATCCACTTGTCTTGAAGAGTTATAAGGGATGAACTGTTTTCTGGCTATATCCTTATAAGGGAGCAGATGTCAGTGAATACCTTGGTTTTCCTACAGTATGGAAAAAAAAAAAACAGAAAGAAGAAACAGTAAAATGTGAAGTTTCCTAGGAGGAAGTTGTAGCTTAGAAAAGCTAGTCTCCCCAAGAGCCTCTGTAAAGAATCAAGAGAAGAGGAAGAAAGGATCCAAGACAAGTGATACATAGCCACCAGCCTTGGTATCTCCTCTAGACCTAGGCTTCTCCCCATCACAACTTGACCCAAAGGTCAGAATTTGGGTTCAGGGAGCTAAATGTTCAGAGGTAAGTTTATCTGCCTCCCCATAGGTGAAGAGTCCTAGGAACAGTCTCTAAAGTATATGTAAGTGAGAAGGTAGGACATGAGCTGGAGGCAGCATGAGGTCGAGGCAGAGTTGCCACTTCCCAGATACCACCCAGTTTTGCCCACCCAGCCAAGTCACAGTTCTGTGTCAGCCACCACATGTTGTCTTGCTGAATGGCCGTTTCTGGAGGTGGCCTGGCCGGTCCCGTTCTCCTGAGCCCCTCGGGTCACACTGGCCTTTCCCTGAGTCTCAGGGGAGGACCCAGGTCCTGAGCTATAGCCCTGGCCTCCACCATTCTCCGTGTAATAAGGGTCTTCACCCTGGACAGTGTAGAAATAAAGTAGCATTATCTGGTAAGTAGGGTTGTGAGGTACTGTGAGGAGAGCACAAAGGAAGTAGGAAGAGGGGGCAGGTACAGCTACATGTGCAGGCTCTTTTCTTCCCAACAGCCATCAAGGTTCCAGCTCCTGGAGGAGAAAGGACAGAGGAGAGGCACCACACCATGTCAATGTGGCTCAGTAACCAGCCCCATAAGAAACCAATCTCAGGGACAAAAGAGCCTCCCCAGTAGATACCAGCCATTGGCAAGACTCAAACTTTAGCCTTTTCCCTCCCTCTATCCAGAACACTTCAAAAGTAGATATTCCTTCCATATGTTCCATGCTTGTAAGCAAAATGGCACCCACAGGGCATTCAATGTGTTTACAAATAAGCATGTCCAATTTAGCAGCCTATTCTCTTTTATCCAGCTGAACTATCCAGGACAAAATGCATAGATGACATAAACCATCAGCTGTGACAATGACTAGCAAGTGGGCTTGCCTCAGTTTAACTTTCTCCCCATTTACTGCATCTTATTCCTACTCTTTTGTAGATACAATGTCTTCATGCATGCATATCCCTATCTCAAAAATACTAGAAATATTTTTTATGGTATTTCTCTCTCTCTTTTTCATGATATCCATGGACCTCCCCAGAAGTTCATTATCTTCCTCATTTCTTTTCCCCCTACTCCAGAACTGACCAGCCTTTCTCCTGTGGGACTCCAACTGCGACGATTCATCAGGAAATAGCCAGTAGTACCCAAGATGGCCAGCAGGACTCCCGAGGTGACCAATGCAATCAGAGTCTTTCGGGAATAGCTCTGGTGGCTCCCAATATCTTGTTTATTGAAGCTTTGGATCCCCAGCTTAAGGAAAAGACAAACAAATGGCAGCATGTCACTTGTGAGAAAGAAGCTCTAGTGAGAAGCCCAGACCACTCCATATCCCTG